GGGAGGTTTTCAATTGCAGTAAATGAGGTCAGTGCAAGCAGTGCGCACATTTGCGCAAAATTCCAGCTGGATTTTTTTTTGTCCAATTTTGCTTCCTGCTTTCTCTGACAACCATTGATTTTCAAAATTGCTTCATTTGACTTTCAAAATTATCGACGGCAATAACCAAAAGCCACGGACAGAAGATGGTTGCCATCCAGGAACGGTCCTAAATTAACATATGTTTGCTTATATTTATAAGGGTGAAGCAAATATAATGCTTTTTTGATCGTAACCAGGCAGGTTTTAAAATTCCTCTTTAATGGAGAAATTCTGTGAATAGCTTTGTATTGACAAGAGAAGAGTGCGATAGCAATTTCACTGAATGTTAAGACATTTATTAGGCCTAAGCAGGATTATAAACGCTGTTCAACGAGTAGATAATCAGCTAACAGTGTGACTGGTTGTCTAAGAGCCTAATGGATAGCCGATCGCGTGACACTCTTTGTCCTTCAGAGATGTTGGACTCGCCGTTACAACTTGATATTTAGCAAATTTTGACTGGAATATTGTGTCTGCACATTCACCAAACAATAACTCCAAAAAGTAATTATTGAAATGTGAGGGAAAAATGACGGCACATTCTTGCGCCGCTTTTCCAGGAACAGTTATTTTCAGTACATAGCAATTTTTCTCAAATCTGGGTCAAAATTTTAAAAAAAAATTTAATTTCAATTCCTGTCAAAGCGATGTTTTATCCATTCATTCCAACTGCACAACAAGGAATTCAAAGAAACTCAACGCTGTAATCGAGAAGCAAGAGACAGAAGCGCCGTGGAAGTTAACTAAAAATCGAAATTACCGTGCGCATTTCGAGTCGCTGATTTGCTGTCAAGGCTGTGGAATACGAAGTTCTGACATCGACGCTTTCAATGCGTGCGTTAGCTGTAAAGCATTATTTCTTAGTACTGTTTCCTCAGCATGACTACTTCCAGGCATTTACTTCCATATTCTCAATTCAAAATTTCTTTTTGCCCCTCGCAAAGCTGCCATTGCTGCTCGACTGGTTTTACACAGAGATTCGTCAGCAAATTCATTCTGTCTTAGCATAGTCAAGCAAAAGAAGATGGGCTTATTAGCAAAGGAGGTGGTAAATTGGGAGTTGAAAACGTTTTTGTAAAAAAAGGTGGTTAATAAACGAGAAAGAGAGGAGAATTAACTGAAAAATATTTTAAAAAAACAGTCTATTTTACGGAAAAAAAAAAGAAAAATAAAGTTGAAGAGGAGCGCTTCGGTCCAGTAAGTCGTACATCTTCATTTTTAACTCGCAAATACAAGGTAGTTTCTCCTTCTAGTGCAGTGAAATTTATTATTCACAAAAAAAGCGACGCGGCTTGGACTTGTAGCGCATATCGGCATTTCCCGGCTCACACAAAACTTCACTGTATTTGCCCTGAATAAAAGAATGCCTCCACCATGGTCGTATGCCCTGGTCATTAAAAGCCGCCACACCAGCCCACCTTGCCCAAACGTCCTCTTCACAGTCTAACTTTATATCCAGAAGAAGCAGTATGGCAGCAACATCCAGTCAGTGCTCCACAAATGACGTCGAAATTTTTGCTCAGCTGTCTAATGCTCCCGGGAGCCATTCGAGAGAGCGAGTTTTATTGACGTGGCTCTCAGTGCACAAAGCTTGCCACGATGCTTCTCAAATATGCTTCGCTCTGTTCCCTCCAGCTACTGCCAGTCATGCATTTTCTATTCATTCCATTGCATTTATCATATTTCGAAATCGTCGTTCATAGATTTTTTTTTTTAATGCATAGAATCCTATCTCTCTGTAGAGAGGAAGGCTTGTGTCGGACATACCCCCATTGTGCACTTTTTTATGATAACAGCGCCATCTAGAAGCGTTAAGAGCATAAGGATTTTGGGATTCGCGCTCAATACACTT